TTTTGAAAGATTTACGTTAGAGCTCCCTCTTTCAAAACGTGTCCTTCCGATAGTCTTTTTTTACATTTTTTCTATCGTCTCATCATTTCCTGAAACTTTTATTTGTGTAAAGCTCACCATTTTTGTTATTATGCGAAACTATACCCCAAGCCTAACCAAAACATAACCTAAACTACCGACAAACTAGTTAGGTTGCTAGTTTTTAAACTAGTTATCTTCTGACTCCATTGTTAGAATAACTTCCTATCGGAAGCCTAACTCTATTTTACAAAGTTCAAACCATTATTTTTTTTAATAATACCCTAAATCTAACCTAAACCAGTGACAAACTAGTTACGCCGACTCTCTGTTTACTCCGTTACTGAAATAACTTTCTATCGACAGCAGGACTCTCTTGCACACAGTTCTAACAGAAATTGATGAAAAGTAGAAAATTATTGTTGGTTGGTTAAATCGACGGAAACGGAAGAAGTTTGTCCCACTTAATCCACTTTATCAAGTTTCAGAGAATAAAATCTTAGAGGTAGGTGCCGTTACTTACTCTCTCTTAACTAAACATAGAAGCTATTTGCTCTGTCCACAATCAACATTACTTCAAAGAACTTTTGTGGTATGCACTGTATTTCTGGTATTCAAAGATCTAAGGAGTTACTCCACAGTAGATTATATCAAGCATCCCTTAAAGTAGTTGAAGATCTAGAGTATAACTTTATTATATATTCCCAGATAATTCTTATCGTTTTTCCCACCTAAAGTTTAGTTTTTGCCTTCTTCCATAACTTAACGCAGTGAGACTTGTTGGCACTATGTATAGCCTTAATTGGTGCTTGGCTTTCCGCTAGATGGTTCATGGACTTATTGGTTAGAGCAAAAGCCCATTACTTCAAAGTCGTAGATAATTTCGTCTATCTTGACACCAGTATTAGCATCAACAGGAATATCAGAATCGAAAGCAACGCAGAATAACTCTTGCCAACAGGTGTTACTTCGGACTGAGTAGACAGTTGAGAAATAAAATGCTCTCTTGACGAACAAAGGCCAAACTCTATAAGTCATTCAACATTTTCGTCCTGCTCTATGGTGCAAAGACATGGACAATGACATCATCTGACGAGACGGTCTTAGGAGTGTTCGAAAGAAAAGTTTTGCGGATGATTTATCATACTTTGCGCATTTGCAATGGCAAGTACCGCAGTCGATGGAACGATGAACTGTATGAAATATAGGACGACATTGACATATTTCAACAATATATCCCCCCATATCCACCGGGGGAAGCAGAGGAAGAGGAAGACCTTCACTCTGTTGGAAAAACCAGGTGATCAAGAATCTGGCTTCGTTTGGAATCTCAAATTGGCGCCACTTTGCGAAAAGAAGAAACGACTGGCGCGCTGTTGTTAACTCGACTACACGCCGGTAAAGAAGAAGAAGGAGGTTTCAACAACTTCCTGAATTTAACTCTCGGAAATTGTTTTTAATTATGGTGAAATTACGTTTATGTAATGTAGAGGACTGACTTCATTTTGATTCATAACGGTACTCAGAAATGACGAACCTGTTCTGTTTAATATCCACGATATCATTTTGCGCTGTGTACCCATGCCGACCGCTCACTCGAACTCATATATGCTATAAGAAAATTTTTAATTGTTTTTTTTTCTTTTTGAAAACATTGCGGCGGAATTTCAAAATGAGTTATTATCGCTAAGCGATATGTAAATTTTCGACAATTCCGTTTTGTCGACAGGAAAGCAAGGGTTGTGAATAAATACATACATATATTATGTACCAGCAGCAGAACACAGCCGCTAGGCTTGCCTACAAGTCGTACCCCAAAACAAATGGTTAATACAAAACTCCTTTTGCACACATACAAACATATTAATATATACATTGAGCGTCTCTTGACAGCAAACTTCAATGTTGATAGAAATCTTTGTTGAAATCTTCGTGGAAATCTGCACATAAGCAGCCAGAGTTCAGCTCGGATGTGCGAGCATGTCATTTATTATACGCTTGCTGTATTTAATTTGAGCCGCAACTCACGCCCAGACGCATTAAACAAAAGCAAAACTACAGGGGGGAGCAGTGAGCGCATATCAAATGCGTGAAAGTAGAGAGCAGACGCAGCGACAGACAGTTAACGGCATGTGGTTGTGCATATTTGGGTTGTGAGTTACGAGTCGGGGGCGCGCGGTTAAGACTAATGTTTGTCTTAATCTTTGATTTGTTCTTCAAATGTAAACGACAGGAATTAATTTAGATAAATGATTTACGAAGATTTGCGCTGCCACTTGAAGCGAAGCGCCAGTAGAAAGCAACGCAACGCCGTGGTCCTTGGAAGCAACTCGACTGGGGGTGTTTATTACAAACAAAATAGTGTCAATGGCAAGTGTAGCGCCTCCAGCTCGCCGGCTTGCCAAGCTATTTGCCGCTTAGCCGTCAAATTGTTTGGCCATGAGTCAATCATCGGCGTAGACAGTGAACCAGCCGGCTGATGTTGGAATTAATTGCTGCCGCCACTCATCAGCTCGCGCTGGAATGCGAACTCCTCGCTGCCATCCGTTGGACTGTGGCGGCCCTTTTAAATTGTAAAATTGTTTACGAAAACAATTTTCGTATTGAAATTTGATTTATTTGCTAATTTGTTTGTAATGAATTTCGACCTCGCTTCATCCGTTCCATTGCAGCCGAGCCGTTGTAAGAAGTTCCTTCAAGTATTTACAAATGCTTTATAGCTTTCTTAAGCATTTAATTGGTTAGATAAACACAACCGGCTGCATCATCCGGAAGCTGGAATTTCTTATTCGTTTGTTTCATTTCCGCTTCATTGTGCACGTTTTGGCTAATTTCTTAAGCCAGATGATATCGTCACTCACACCACACCACAACACAGTCTTCTGTTGATGACTTCTGCCCACTGCCATTGCTCTGAGCGAATTACTTTATTTGTTTTCGCTTACGGTACTTTCGATCTTCTCTATCATTTGCTCATTTCAATTACGCAATAGTCGACGCAGTTGAAAAATTGATTCGGCAACTATGGCGAATTGGTTGGCGTCTGTTAGCGACGACTGATAGCTGACGCGTTGGCGCTTTGAAGTGTGACGAGACATGAAAAATAACTTTGAAGGAGGCTTTGAAGTTACTAAAAATTTAATTTCACAACTGTTGTTTCATTTGAATTGCAATTGCCTTTTGAATTGGCTAAATTTTCAGTATTTAAATGTTTATCATTGTTTAGGGAATTGGAAATTTAGTTAGAGAGTAAGTGTTTCAGCAGTTCATAAAAAGCAGTCAGAATAGTGGTTGTACTAACATTTGACTCAGATCTCTCGTCACCTTCACAAAATCATGCACTCATTATAGATTATTATACCCAAACTATCCAGACATTAGCGTTTATTAAGATTTCGGTGCTAAAAATCGGCGGTATACCAGCAAAATGAAACAAAGCTATACCAAGGGGTTCAGGTGTCGTATTTGACAGTTTTTATCACTGCTGCGCTCTGGTGGCGTGTTCCCGTGAGAACAGGAGCTGGCGGCTTTGATAAGTTTCGAGCACTTAAAAACATTTTTAACTTTCGAGTAAAATCCAGGGCAAATATGCCATGTATCCACCAAAATAAAAAAGTGAACTTAAGTTTTTAATCCATTTTTTGTGGTACTTAGAAAGATTTGAGTTTAGTAGGAAAATATAACTTTTGGGAATCATTTTTGTGCTCAATATGAGTCTGGTGGCTTATTTTCTTCGCACATACCTGAAAGAGAGTTGTGGGTGAGTAGAAGCCGTTAGAGGAGGCAGTAAGCTTGTTTACGGATAAAACAAAGCTGTGGAGGTAAGATTGGTGGAGGCGTATATTATCAAGAACACTTTATCAACCTCACTTTCAGACTTAATAAAGTAGCGGAAGATTTACTGCTCCGGAGTGTAGTCTTCTTCAGAGAAGTGCAAGGGTAGGGCAGCGATACTAGCCTTGAGCACACTAACCATGGGTTCAGGGTTGGTTAAAGAATATCTAACGTCGATATCAACGGCATCAAGTCACTTTGCGATAAGACTAGTATAGGTGCCGCGCCACCTCGATCGCAGGTAACTGTGAAGCTGGCATGAAAAAGCATGAATAAGCACGCCAGTCTATTAGCATAATAGCAAATGTTCTCCTCACCTCATGTATTCTATTACAGGACAGTTGGCTTCGCCGGAAAATGACCAGCGCTGGGCTGCCATCGGCTCATGCGCTGTCGAAAGATTATTTTGGACCATGATGTATCGTAAGAGATCGAGTGAGCTCTTTTCCCTCAGTAAAGCTAGCCTCTCTCTAGTTGTGGCAGTTCTAACAGACCATTGTACTACCGGTGTCCATGTTGTGAGCTTTATCGGATATCAGCTGCAAATGCTATGTGAAAGAAATAAAGATTATGATCCAACGGCAATGATCATTAGAGAATTGATTTCTCCGAATATTTGTGTGTTTATTTATCTAACTATATTTTATTACAGTTGCTAAAGAAGTTGAAGGAAACAGTCAAAAATATTTTTTCCTAATGTTTGGTGTTATTACCGAAAGATCGGTGAAGCTGTATATTCCTATAAATAACAAATCTTATAGAATCGGAACAATTTTAAAAGTAAAACACAACTTGTATTCAAAGTTTATTAGCAGAGAAGATTCGCTCTTAACAAAACAGATACTGAATTGAGAGAGAAAGTTTGAGTAGCAATTACACGTGTCAAAAATGTGTAAACTCATATTTTGTTGTTTTAACTCTCATTGCGTTCTTTTTTTTTTTTTTTTTTTTGTATACTAATTTAAAATTTGCTAAGTCATAGTTCTGCATTAAAAAATATTGTAAATAAATAACTAAAGACGTTATTTTTGCATGCAAAGTCAAAAAATATATACTTTTTTCAGTGTGTAAAGAGTTTCTTGACATACTGTATATAATTATTTTAACACACAAATAAAATAAATTTACTAATTAAATAAATTGGAAGCACTTTTACTCACTAGATTAATATTAGTAAGCTACAAAACTATAATTGTTCTAAATCTTTGGATAATTTGGTATTTTCATCACATCAAACGTTTTGACACACGCTCCGTCTCCTCGATCATAGTGCTCAAAAATTCGTTCGGCTTTCGCGCATAGACCACAACTAATTTGTATGGCGCAATAAATTTGAAATCTTTTGTATTGATATCGGCTTCGCGCAGATTCATGTCAGCCACACATTGTACGATATCATCCAGAAAGTCTTCTTGCATAGCTGGAGACATGCGCTCCAAGAAGGGACAAATCGACTTTATGTTATCTATAACAGTATTTGATAGAGAGAGGGAGAGAGAAAGGAGAAAGAGAGAATTCTTACATAAAGAGATAGGTATTTGTCTGAAATATAGAATAACCTTTAAAATTCTGTGTGCCCTCATAGACGTATGTCTCATTGCGTATCTCCACAGTGTAGTCCACAAAACCCGTCTCCGCCAACAACTTGCTGTACTCCGCACCCGGATCACTGCTGCTACGCAACGGTGAGATGAACTGCTGCACATCGCGCATATAATCGCGCCATTTCTGCGTCTTCGCCAAAGTCAGATACAGATCGTAGGTAGGAATATTTGCGAGAAACACAAGCAGGCAATCGCCACCGCTCACACGCAACAGCTGGCGGATATTCTGTAAGGCGCGTCTACAAAAGTAAAATACACACATAACTCATACAAGCTTAGCGAGCTTGAAGGCGCCTACACTCACTTTTGATCTTGCACCCAATGCAGGCAATAGAAGGAGGTGACATGATCGAAACGATTGCTTAGATGCTGTGGCAGCTCTGCACAAGCTATGTCGAGCACCTCGAACTGAGCGCGCTTAATATAACCGTAATTTTGGCGCGCGAACTCCACCATACGGGCCGAGATGTCTGTTGACAAAACGGCTTTGAAATTGGGCGGCAATAGCGGATATATGTAGTCCATAAGCACATTACCCGAACCGGAACCGATATCGATGATCGTGTCGCGACCGTCGACGCGCCATTTCATCACTTTGATGTATTCTTGAAAGATTTGCTTTGAGTCGCGGCGCTGCACGGCGCTGGCGCGGTGATAAAGCGAAGCAAGATTCATGTTGTCGGTAGATATATGAAAATTATTTTTTTTTTTTCAAAATGTTTGTAAATTTTTTTATAAATTTTTTTTTTAATTTTTTTTTAATTTTTTTATATAATTGTGGTATTTAAAATTTTTGATTTTTACGTAATAATTTTTTATATTTTTGTATTGTATTTTTTTATTTTTACAATTTTTTTTATTTATCGGAAACCGGCAAATAAAACACAATCGATCGGTACGCGAAAGAAATGCAACGAGTCAAAACACTTTGCAACAACACAGCTCACTTGCTCTAAACGCACTTGTTGTTGAACCGCCGCTTTTTATACTGATCTCAAAACCGTAAGCAACAGGTCACAAATTTACAGCGCGATCGTTGTGGAATCACCATAAAGCACACACACAGGCACACGCTCTAGAACGCGCACCCAACGAATGTAAGCTGGAGCTCACACACATACACGTGTATACATAGAGTTACCACCCATTTCCCCGGCACGGAACTGAAATGATTCAAATTTCACTATTTACATTTCTTATTATTATTTTCAAATGCACGTTTCCCCATGTGAGTGATAAAAATCTTCGGGAAACAAAGAGCAAAACACACGCCTGCGGTGAGCGCTTTACAACACACAAAAGTGAATTCAAATGAGCGGAAAATAAATGTTGACGCAAACGCCAAATGTTGTAAAGCTATGACGACTGCAGCACGCACACATACATATATATATATCTATATATACATATAGATACCAACAATTGCAATATAAATATTTGTATTTATAGGTGTGCGAGAGCAGAACACCAGCATTAGTTATTTGCCCGTTAGAAGCGAGAGAATATAGAATAATTACATATTCAAAATTTGGAAATGACCTTAACATTTTTTGTAACATATATACATATGTATATATATTTATGTACATGTATAAGTGTATTGTATAGATCGTGCTAACACCTGATCGTTTGAACTTGTGTGTTCGGAGATCGTACAATGAGCGTCAGCATAAAGTTGCCAGCTCATATATACAGTATACAGATCAAATTGAAAGGTGAATTTTTAATTTGTATTTCGCTTATTTTTCGAATCGGTAAATTTTTTTCTGTAAGTTTTTAGTACTGTTAGTGACATCCATGCTAAATTTCACGTCCAGATATTAATTAGTATTTGAGATGCCCGCATACGCACCATCTCACACTGCATTAGTTCTTCGTGATCATTTCGCCACATTTTCAACTAATATCGTGTCGCAACCGCCACTTTTGCCTTATTTACCTTGGTGTAACTTCTGGCTATTCAGCAAATTTACATGACCATTCCGAGGACACCATTTTGACTCAATTGAGGATATAAAAGCTGAATCGAAGAAGGCTCTGATGGCCATCACGGGGACTGGAAAATTGTTTAATTTAAGATAATATTTTAAACAAAAAAAATTCTTTATGGAATTCAGCTAATGGTCTGAGTTGCAAATGGTCAGGTGCTAAAGAAGTTGAAGGAAATAGACAAAAACATTGTGTCCTAATATTTGGTATTATTACCAAAAGATCGGTAAAACTGTATTTTTCAATAAATAACCATTCTTAAGAATCGGAACAATTCTAAAACCAAAACGCAACTTGTATTTATTAGCAGAGAACATTCTCTCTTAACAAAACAGATACTGATTTGAGAGAGAGTCGTTGGTATTCCTGCTATTGAAGAAGTTTGAGTAGCAATTACACGTCTGAAAACCAACTAAGCGGTGGGGGCTGAAGGATATGGTCCGACGAAAGCATGCCTGACGATTGGCCACAACAGGGTATCCCCACAATCTGCCCCAACTACCGTGGGATAAGCCCCCCAAGATCAGCCTTCGAGCGTACTATGTGAAAGAGCACCGCCAACAAACTGATTGGACAATCGAACAGATATTCACCATGAGCCAAATCTTGGAAAAGGCCCGTCAAAAGAGGATCGACACACATCAACTGTTCATCAATTTCAAAGCTGCTTTTGACAGCACGAAAAGGAACTGCTTTTATGTCGCGATGCCTGAATTTGGTATCCCCGCAAAGCTAATACGGCTTTGTAAACTGACGTTGAACAATAGTAAAAGCTGCACTAGGATTTACAAGTTTAGGCGTTACAAGTTTTTGATAGAAATTTTCTGCGGAACATTTATAGTCCCTTGCGCATTGGCTGCGGTGACTTCTTTTCTCCTTCTTTTCCTTCGGTTTGTTGGTCTCGCAAGAAAATCACATATAAATTTGAGGTTATATATAATTTTTTTACCACACAAATAAAATAAATTCACTAATTAAATAAATTGGAAGCATTTTTTACTAACATTAAGCTAAAAAACTACAATTGTTCTAAATCTTTGGCTAATTTGGTATTTCAATCACATCAAACGCTTTGACACACGCTCCGTCTCCTCGATTATAGTGCTTAAAATTCGTTCGGCTTTCTCGCATAGGCCACCACTAATTTGTATGACCCAAAAAATTTGAAATCTTTTGTATTGATATCGGCTTCGCGCAGATTCATGTCAGCCACACATTGTACGATATCATCCAGAAAGTCTTCTTGCATAGCTGGAGACATGCGCTCCAAGAAGGGACAAATCGACTTTATGTTATCTATAACAGTATTTGATAGAGAGAGGGAGAGAGAAAGGAGAAAGAGAGAATTCTTACATAAAGAGATAGGTATTTGTCTGAAATATAGAATAACCTTTAAAATTCTGTGTGCCCTCATAGACGTATGTCTCATTGCGTATCTCCACAGTGTAGTCCACAAAACCCGTCTCCGCCAACAACTTGCTGTACTCCGCACCCGGATCACTGCTGCTACGCAACGGTGAGATGAACTGCTGCACATCGCGCATATAATCGCGCCATTTCTGCGTCTTCGCCAAAGTCAGATACAGATCGTAGGTAGGAATATTTGCGAGAAACACAAGCAGGCAATCGCCACCGCTCACACGCAACAGCTGGCGGATATTCTGTAAGGCGCGTCTACAAAAGTAAAATACACACATAACTCATACAAGCTTAGCGAGCTTGAAGGCGCCTACACTCACTTTTGATCTTGCNATAAATAATTAAAAAAAATTAAGTTAAAAGAAAATTGTTAATTATTATAAAAATTGTAATTAGAAAAATTTAATAATGAAATTGTTTAAATAATTTCTCTCACATTTTCTTTATATTTTCCTCTCTTTTTCGTTTTTCTTTCTTTCCAACTTACAGTTGTGTTTATGAGACGCGCGTCTGATGACGAATGTTTTTTGGTTATGAAATAAACAAAAATCTGTCCACGAGTCGTAAATGTGTATAAAGCACTAGTTTTAAGTATTCATATGTTATGCGGAGCGAACTTTATACATACATACATACATATTTGTACATAGCTAATAAATACATTAATATACAAATTGCGTATTGTTGATTAATTTTGTATGTCAGCTATAGAGCGAGCTGAGGAGAACATCTCTTGAAAATTTTGACATAAATATTTAATGCGTTTAAACCCATCAGATCTGGACTGCCTAATTGTCAAAAAGAATTATAAAACAAAAAGTTGGATATTGTCATAAACAACTAATCGTTTATAGACAAAATGTTTGAATTTAAAAGTTTTGGCCTCGGAATAAGTAGAGAGATACTCGGAAATCCTTCCACACCCCATTTCAACACCCTCACATGCGAGAAAGCATCGTTTTTACTATTTTTTCCTCAAAATACGGCGATTTGGAACACATTTTTATTTCTCTAAATTTCTAGGTGCATCCAAATTTATTTTTTCTTTAATAGAAATATGCTCCATGCGATTCTGCAAATTTCTGCATTTTTATTTTTTCTCCACGACCAGTAGTTTAGAAGTTATAAGCATTTTTGTATTCGCTTGAATTCGGCGGTTGCTTGCTGCATGCTCCTGGTCGCCTGGTAGAAATCCGAGATTTTGGCACCAAATTGAATGCAATTTTTCTGCAGCGGCGACGGATGCCCTGCAAATTTGCGTGATGTGTTGCATACGCAAAGGGGCGAAATTCGGAACACGGATGCGGCCATATGCAACGGCCGGAAATGGGAAATGGTCCACGACCGGAAGTGGTATAACGGTATTGCACTTCCGGTCTGACAACCAAACCGGAAGAACCAAACCGGAAACGGATGTGTTGAACCGGAAGTGATGTAACGGACCCACACTTCCGGTCTGCTGGCCAAACCGGAAGTCGCAAACCGGAAACGGATGTGAGTAGCGGGAACCGGAAGTTGGGTGTTTCCGGTATGTCGCTTCCGTTTCCGTTTTGCGGCTTCCGGTTCGGTTTTCAGACCGGAAGTATGGTACCGTAATTTAACGTCCGGTCGAGGCCCACTTCCGGTTTCCGGCCGTTGCATATGGCCGCATCCGTGTTCCGAATTTCGCCCCTTTGCGTATGCAACACACCATGCAAATTTGCGGAGCATCCGCTGCCGCTGCAGAAAACTTGCATTCAATTTGGTGCCGAAATCTCGGATTTCTACCAGGCGACCAGGAGCATGCAGCAAGCAGCCGCCGAATTCAAGCGAATACAAAAATGCTTATAACTTCTAAACTACTGGTCGTGGAGAAAAAATAAAAATGCAGAAATTTGCAGAATCGCATGGAGCATATTTCTATTAAAGAAAAAATAAATTTGGATGCACCTAGAAATTTAGAGAAATAAAAATGTGTTCCAAATCGCCGGTTTGTAAAGAAATTTGGCCTTAAATCCTTAGCATTTTGATTACATTTTGCAGTTATGGCACGAGGGGGAAGCTTTGTAACTAAAATCTTGTTCTTTGACAAAATAAACCAAACAATACTCAATGCAAGTTCTCAGCAAAATTCTTCGAGGATAGAGCCGTGTGTGGAAGTTCACTCAAGTAAACAAAGTTCTCTGAGCGCCAATAAAATGAAATAATCAAAACAGCCTAAACAAAATTACTACAATTTTCTTCATCTCATTTTTATATTTATTTATTTTTTAATTTTTTTTTTTGACTGTATTTTAAATTAATTATTTTTAATATGGCAATCAATGTTTTATTTTTATATTTTTTGCTGCTTCAACATGAATTTATATATACGTTATATATATATCTTTTAAATTATTTACTAGTAACTCGCTTCGTTTGCTGCTGTGCGTTTCACATACACACACATATGCGTTAAATAATAGAGTTTTCCTTTCGCTATTGTTAATTTACATTATTAAATATTTAAATATTTTTAAGGTAGTTTCGTTTGTATGTTTTGCTAAACAAATTTTTGCTTCTTTTTTTGTTTTTCTTTTTGTTTTTGCCTTTGCTTTTGTACAGCTTTACATCGCTTGATTTTGATTATGTGTCTTTAGGAAGCTGAAGTTTGGCAATTCCTTAAATTAAACACAGTTGTGTACATAAACACTTAATAACTACAACAACAACTACAATACATGTATAGATTTGCTTTGCATTTGCTAGACTGTTTATTAAACATTAACGGTTAAGGGTTGCTTAAAGTTGACGCACGCTTGAGAAAATGTGTCTGCAGATTTCTTGCTATAATTTGCGCTCTAATTTTTATTTAATAATTTTTTATATTTTTGTACCTTATTTTTAAAAAWTTTTTTATTTACCGAAAACCGGCATATAAAACACGATCGATCGATACACCTGCTCTAAACACACTTGTCGTTGAACTTTTGTGTTGATACTCTTCGAAGAACGCCGCTTTTTATATTATTTTACTATTTACATTTCTTATCACTATTTTCAAATGCACGTTTCCCCAAGTGAGTGATAAAAATCAGGAAACAAAGAGCAAAACACGCGCCTGCAGTGAGCGCTTTACAACACACAAAAGTGAATTCAAATGAGCGGAAAATAAATGTTGTCGCAAACGCCAAATGTTGTAAAGCTATGACGAGTGCATCACGCACACTTTAGCATTAGTGAGTACATAGATGTTTTTTTTTTTGTACTTAATAATGCATAACAAGAGTAATAATCAAGCTAACAACAACAATTTTGTTTTTATTTGTTTGGTGCTTAGTAGACTTCAATTTAATTTATATTACAACAACAGAAAATATCAAAGTCCAATAACAAATTAATAAAAACAAGGTGATGCAAGGTCAGGGCTATATGGTGGATGCATCAAAACTTCCCAGACAAGTTCTCCCAGTTTTTGCCAAGTCATCAAACATGTGTGTGGTCAAGCGCAGTCCTTTCTGTTGATCAGTTCAGCCCGTTTTTTTTTTTTATTGATTGCTTGCTCATCAATTCTTGACAGTAAAATGTAAAAATGTAGAATCAATCATTGGACCAGGCTGAAGCAGCTCATAATGGATGATTCCTTTCCAATCTCACCAAACACTCAGCATAACCATTCGAGGCGTCAATCCTGGCTTTCCGGCTTTCCGACCTTTTACTGAGCTTCACCACACTTCGACCATGATCTTTTTCGGACATTATTGTCGTATTTGATTCATTTTTCATCATTTCGTTTCAGCAAAGAATCGCAGGTGTTCGGTCCATTAAATTTTTCACAGACAATTCATGTGGTACCCAAACCGCAAACATCGAGCTTCTTTATGTAGCCAGCATTTTTTAAATGGTTTGATGATGAATGTTAAGTTCCTTAGCGATGTCACGGCTGCTCATGTGATGATTATGGTAAGTGTTTTTTTTTTTATAATTTCATCGACTCTTTCACCAGATCGAAGAGCATCTTTCACATCGAAATATCCAGAACGGAAGCAAGTGAACCATTGTTGTGCTACACCCCGAACTAATACAGCATCGTCCCCGAAAACTTTAAAAATTTCATTGGTGGCTGCGTGGCATTTTTCCTTTTTTAAAATAAAAATTTCAAAAGAAACATCCTTAACACGAATACTGGAAAAAGTTAGGTTATGTACAACATGTTATCTATGGAGTGTACTCAGAAATAAAAAAAGAGTAAGTAACAAAGATTATGTAAAGGTGCGCTCCACAAGGCGCTATTTAGGCCCCTCAAATGATTCCAACCGACAATTCGAACTAAATTAGTAGAGTAGTAGTTAGAGAGTAAATCTTTAGTAATTAAAACCACTTACTGCAGTAACAAAAAACCTAATCAGATCTCTTGATACCATTTTTAGTTTTATTTCAATTATTTCTATAGATACCTGAAAATTACCCGATAAGATAATACTCACTAATTTATTTAGTGATAAATTTATGTATACGAAATAGGTATCGACTAATAGTTAAAATAAGAGTTTAGGCATAATTGTCTTATCTACTTAGTTATAACAATAAGAAAGTTATAACAATAGGAACAGTAAACTCTCTTTCACCACACGTAGACTGATCAAAATCCAATCAATATAACTAAGGAAGAGAGTTCGAGTATAACGGAACATTTCATACTCTTGCAACTTGCCAGGATAAAAAACGGGGAAATATCTTCCGATTCTTTTACATATTACTCAAGCAGCTCACGACTTCCGGTCTTTGACCAACTATCCTCTGGGTGGCCTAAGAACATCCGTTTGAAGGCGAGCTAAAGTGAGAAGGCGAAATATCCCCTACTTAGGGTTGTGCGGTGGGTTTGGGACCCACCACGTAAAAATCAGTACCAATGAAAAATTACCAACAGCTTGCTGTTGTTAACTCGGCTATAATCGCAAAAGCGGTGTCTACGCCAATTAAGAAGAAGAAGAACTTACATATTGGACAATATATGGCGTACTAAGTCTGCCGAAAGTTGGAATATACTTCTATCAAGTATATAGAGGCTAAGAAAAAATTTGCCCAATTCAGCCCATTTACCCAATTCATCTCATCTCATTATATATCTCACAAATCTACCACACCTACCACAAGCTCTGGAGTTCATATTTCCTGTATCTGATCTGGCGGATTGAATAGTTAAGGGTCGTTTATGACAATTATTAGACCTAAAATGGTTGTGTTATATGAGAAATAGGCCTAGTTTCAATCCAATCTCTTTTTTTTCCAAATAGTAACATGGGAATCTTACTATAATCTATAATAAGGGATTTCACATAACTCAAGCTCTTTTTGATTCTTTTTAAAGAGGTATAGTTGAAGTTATAGTTTGAAACCTTTGACTTTTGATAAAATAATTGATTTTTGCATTCTAAATAAATAAACTATAAATCAGAAATGCAATAATCACTCACTAGTACAATTATAAACATTCCCAGTATAGAAAAATTAATTCTCTAACTGTAGACACACTTTTGACGCACAATTTATACACATTACATAATTACATGGTAAGTGCAATCTACGAAAATCGTTGACTGCCGAACTTATTGTATTCGTTTACACTTTGTCTATGTGCATGTGTAGAATATATTTTAGAGAAAGTTTAAATGTCGGCATATAAGAGTACAAATTGTACTTCCGACTTCGCTCTTTGACGCAATCTATCGTTGTTGCTCATTACAAAAAATAAAAGCAGAGCATTTACTATCGTCTGATGAATTTAACGATCAATTCATTAGTCACTCGTACAAATGCATTTACATAGCGTCGTAGTCTCAAGTTACTTACGTCGCAAGCTATAACTTGTTTGAGACGAAGCTTTGAGCAATGTTTTGAAACGTCATCAGACGAGCGCACCTTGCGCGCCATTACGAAAGCGCATTGAGGCACGACAACCAGAAAAACATGTTGTAGCACTTCTGATGCACTTCTATGTTTGTAGCCTCATCAAGCCCTAGGCTATTGCTAAGCACGTCAACCTTTTAATGGCATTAAATCAACAGAGTACTACGAGTTTTTCTTAAATGCTTATGCTACGCACATATAAACAAAGGTCAAGTTGTTTGATAAATCGCGCTTGTAAAACGATTGTGCGTTTATTTATAACCGTATTAGAGGAAAACTTATCGATAAAAAATTGTTTTTTCGCAAATTCGTTGTAAATGCCCAAGTAATTATGAGAAATGCATTAGTTTTCACGGTTTCGTACGAAAATTGATAGTCATAAAACTTGAAATGTATCGTATGAGTATCCCAAAAGCTATTATTCTATTATAGTTTCAGGACAAAATGAAGAAAAATCGATCAAAGTACAATTTCTCTTAGTTTTATGTAGGGAGAAGAAACAATAATATATTAGTCAGGAAGTCCCGCTTCTGGTGACTTTGATTATTTTAAGGTTCCGCTTCGAATTTTAGAAGTTATTTCCACTAGCAAAATGTAACAATATTTGCCGAAATTATTATATGAAATGTCATCAATTGTCTGAATCTCGCGATTTTTATACTCTCGCAACAAAGTTGCTAAGGAGAGTATTATAGTTTTGTTCACATAACGGTTGTTCGTAATTCCTAAAACTAAAAGAGTCAGATATAGGATTATATATACCAAAGTGATCACGGTGACGAGTAGAGTTGAAATCCGGATGGATGTCTGTCTGTCCGTCCGTCCGTCTGTCCRTCCGTCCGTGCAAGCTGTAACTTGAGTAAAAATTGAGATATCATGATGAAACTTGGTACACGTATTTCTTSGCTCCATAAGAAGRYTAAGTTCGAAGATGGGCAAAATCGGCCCACTGCCACGCCCACAAAATGGCGRAAACCGAAAACCTATAAAGTGTCATAACTAAGCCATAAATAAAGATATTRAARTGAAATTTGGCACAAAGGATCGCATTAGGGAAGGGCATATTTTGACGTAATTTTTTTGGAAAAAGTGGGCGTGGCTCCGCCCCCTACTAACTTTTTTCTACATATCTCGAAAACTACTATAGCTATGTCAACCAAACTGTATAGAGTCGTTTCTCTTAGGCATTTCCATATACAGTTCAAAAATGGAAGAAATCGGATAATAACCACGCCCACCTCCCATATAAAGGTTATATTGAAAATCACTAAAAGTACATCAACCGACTAACAAAAAACGTCAGAAACACTAAATTTTGCGGAAGAAATGTCAGAAAGAAGCTGCATCCAGGCTTTTTTTAAAAATTGAAAATGGGCGCGCCGTCGCCCACTTATGGACCAAAAATCATATCTCAGGAAATACTCAACCGATTTCAATGAAATTCGGTACATATTAGTTTCTTAACACCTTGATGATATGTACCAAATATGGGTGAAATCGGTTCACAACTACGCCTGAAATCTCGATTATCACTTTATCATGCGAGAGTATAAAATATTCGGTGACACCCGAACTTAGCCCTTCCTTACTTGTTCTGATTCATTTTGACATATGACCGCCATTTCTGTTGCCTACAGTAACTGAAAATATTCATCTTGGCCTAAAAATGATATTCAACCGCGAACATTTTCGAGCGATTATTTTTTACAACTTTCGACGTGGACTAACTCAGGAACATTGCATATATGAATTTTATTCAACTTTTGGCAATGAAGCTCCATCAAGGACCAGTCTGTATCGATGGTTTTATGGTCCAATCGAGGGCGTAGATAACTCCAATGTCGAATTCCCAGGACATGATCCAAAATCAATACTTGTTCCGGAAACTATTGATGCTGTGCGCAAACTGATATTGCAAGATCGTCATGTGACCTGTCTTGAGATTGGGACAACTATTGGTATTGATGGAGCCAGTATACATTTAATATTGCATGAACATTGGATTGCAGGAAACAACTTTTCACGTGAAATCCCACACAATTTGTTGCTCACTCAAAAACGGTCCATGTCGATTGGTCTAAA